TATTTTAAATAGTGGATTCCTGAACATGGTTTACAAACTTCGGTGTGATCTAGCCCTGTCTGTCTTTCCCCCCTCCCATGGGTAGCCCTCCATCCACAATGCAGTAGACTTGAACTTCCCTCTTGCCTTCCATGAACCAAGCTCTGTCTCACTTTGAGGCTTGTACATGTCTGACTCTGAGCTTCCCAGATGGCACTAGTGGTAAAGAACCTGCCTGCCAATTCAGGAGACACAAGAGATGCCTAGAGAATCCCCATGGGCAGAGGAACCTGTTGGACTACCATCCATATGGTCGAAAAGAGTCGGACACAACCCAGCACGCACCCACACGTGTGCCTGACTGACTCATTTCTCTCTGCCTCCTCACTGGCCAGCCCCAACTGTCCTACCCATCCATCAGACCTCCACATAAGTTCTGCCCTCTCCAGAAGACCTCCCTCATCCTTGCCAGACTTCAGCAGTTGAGGCAGGGGCTTCTCCAGGGCACCCTCCCCCAACACCCTGTATTACAATAATTAGGAATTATTACTATAGTCTGTCTTCACCACTAGCCTGTGGGCTCTGTGAAGGGAGGAGCCAAGTCTAGCCTATTCCCTACTGTGCCTACAGTAACCAGTGTGATGCTGGGCACACAGAAAGGGCTCACTAAGATTTGCAGTCATTATTATAAGTGTCTGGGTAATGTGAGGCTGCAGGAATTAGGAGGAGAAAGGAGAGAAAAGGAGGGGCCAGTCCAGCAGTTTTTCAATTCTAGCCACGCAACAGAACTACGTGGGTTGCTTTACAAAAATATCAATGCTTGGGCACCATCCTAGAGGCTCTGATTGTTTTGACATGATATGGACCCAAGCCCGGGTATTTTTCAAACCTCTTCAGATATTCTACTGCGCAGCTGGATTGAGAGGCCCGGGCGAGCTTTAAGTCAGAGCTCATGGTCTCAGCTCAGTAAATTCTTGCTGACTGGTGTCTGCCTCTATTTCTAAGCGGGGAGGGGAACAGACATTTACTCCTGTCCCCAGCTTCCCTTCCTTGGAGAATGACTTTCCCTTCAGCTCACTCCCCCACCACTCTGCACACCCTCCCAAGATATCCATCTGGCCGTCCCCACTGGCTCTGTGGGGGAGACAGCCAGGTTCAGAGTGAGGACAGGGGCTGGGGTCTAGCCCAGAGGCTGGGTCCTCGGTCTTCTGCTGGAGTGGCCCCAGAGGAGTTCAGTTGGCTTAACAAATATTTGCTGAGCACCCAGGCTTGGCATGGTACTTTGTCGATGACTGGGAGACAGTTACCGAGTTTGGCTGCTGACCAGCCCTGTATCCAGCTCTGGGCTGGGGCTCAAAGAAAGACTGGTTGGGGAGCAGGAGTGGCACTGGCCATTGGCATCATTAATCCCCAGATCCACCTCCATTGTCACCTAAGCAAAAGGGGAGGTGTGGATATCATGTCCCCATCCCAGCTGGCCTCCAAATTTACTGTCACCCAGTGTGATCAGAGCTCTTGCATCAGAATCCCCTGGGAAGCTTGTTAAAAACACAGGTTCCTGGACCCCACCCAGGGTAGGGGGTGATTCAGACAGTCTGGGGTGAGGCCTAATACTCTGCATTTCCAGCAGGTGCCCTGAGGGATTCCAATGCAACAGGTCACTGGCGATTCCAATATGTAGCTGCCTTTAAGAACCACAACCGTCTCGTTTCCCTAGGTGGATTTAGACATCCTGGGAAGAAGGCGGTGCAGGAACAGCACAGTGGTTCCTGGGCTCCAGGGGCCGGGCGCCCCAAGGTGTAACTGACTTGGTTCACAGTCATCACTCCCCACCGTTCTCCAAAGAGGTAGTGAAGGCCCTGAGCTGCATGATTTGTTTAATCCTCACCCCAACCAGGAAAAGTTGGTGTTATTCCCATTAATAGACCAGAAAGTTACTTCCTAAGGTCATAGAGCCAAGTGATTGTACTGGGGTTCTGCCTTTCAAGTTTCTCATCGACCCCGGGAGAGACTAATTTGTGCAAACCTGGTCAGAGTGCAACGGATGGACCAAGGGAGGTAAGTGCAGAGCTCTCGGCAAGTGCCGAGAAAGGAGCAACAATCATCTCCTGGGGAATGGTAGAGGGGGCCTCCGAAAGAGGTGGTGGCATTTGAGCTGGACCTCAGTAGATTAATTCAGTTTTGACATTCAGAGGAGGGGAAAGGGTACCAGGCTGAGGATATAGCATGAATGAAGTCAGGGAGGTGGGAAAATAGATAGTAAAAACAGCAGGTGATCAATGCAGTGTAGGGTGCAGGGAGGGACATGGGAGTGATGGCACCGGGCAGGTCAGCCCAGGCTTTCCACTTGCTGGACCCTGGGAAACAGCCAGAAAGGCATGAGAAGAGAAATTCCAAGGCCCACCTGACTTGAGGAAGACAACTTTGGGGCCCGTGGTCTGGATAGAAATGGCGAGATGGTCTGCTTCTCTGGTGAGTTTGTTCTTCTCTACAGTGGAGAGGATTGCCCTCCTGGACACCTGTCCCAGGATTGTTGTGACAATGGAAGAAAACAAAAGGTGGGAAAAGGTGTTGGTGAGACCCATGGGGACAGAGGGAGAATCAGAATTGGAATTTAGGCACCGTGTGGGCATTGATGCACCTTGGCTGGGGGCCCCAGTGACATGGTTACAGACACAGGGCCATCCGGAGAATGTACAAGAGAAGCATCAGAGGTGGCAGGTGCCACCTGAATCCATATTTGGGTATGGGGAGGGACAGTGAGCAAGATCAAAGCCTAATCTGAAGCAGAACAGTGCACTGATCTGCTTTTCCTTTTGAACGGGGCCCAGAGGACAGATTTCGGTTTCCTAGAGAACTTTGAGGGTGGCTGCCCTTAGCCAGCATCTCATGGAGGTTTTGACCAGCTGCTGCTTCTCTAGTGTGTAGATTAATTGTCCAAGACACTGAAGCCAGAAGGGCTCCAGCCCCTGTGAGAGGGATGTGAGCATGACCCAGTCCAGAGGGGCCTCTGAGGAAGGGCAGCTGGCCTTGCTGACTGAGCAGGAACGTCTTCTGCCACTCCTGAGAACCACCACCACTCACCTCACCCCCCCACCCCACTTCAGCCCCGCAGGGTCAGTCATTCTTCCAGCCCATCTCCATGGGGACCAGCACTTAGCCTAGGTTAGTATTATTAAGCCTCATAGCTCTTGCAACTGAGCTTTTCAGTTTTATAGTGCCTGATGAGTAAAGTGAGCCTCAAGGAGTCCACACAGCTAGGATGCAGAAAAGCTGAGAAATTCAAACCCAGGACTGGGATGCTAAGGACTGGGCTTCCCCCTACTGCACCACGTATCTCTCAGACAGGAGCCGAGGTGTCCTTTACAGACTAAATATCTGGTAGTCAGACCATAACAAGCTAGTGATAGAAGGGCAAGGTGGGAGTTGGTGAGCTCATTGGAAGATCTTCCTGGAGGAGGCCTTGTAATTCTGGAGGAGAGAACAAGGTCTGGAGTTCTTGGCCTCTCTGGACCCAGACTCTGAGCTTACTCAGTTCCCTTGGAGGCAGAGGGCTGTCTTTCCAGAGAGACACAGCCCTGAGCCAGGCCTGGGATTCCTTCTAGGTCTGTGGGCGTTTGATCTTCAGGAGCCTGGAAGAGTACGCATGAGCTTCAGACCTTTGATGTCTACATGCAGACTGTTGCCACATTCATGTCCTGGATCCTCATAGGCCACAACATCCGGGGTATCCAGTGTGTGGGCCTAACTCCCCAGGGATGGTTGAGTTCAGTGATTCCCATCATTCAGTGACACACTGGCTTCATGGTGGAAACTTCCCCAATGGGTGGAGAGATCACACCTTTATTTTATGTTTGTGTAACCCAAGGGCCCACTCAGTCATCTCCCCCAACAAAGGGCTAAAGATCTCAGAGGAGCATGACCTTGTCTGTGTAATAACCACACTTTCTTTTCTTGTTCTCCTTTGGTTCTGCTTTTTTTGAACACTCCTACCTTCTTATAACCTCACCAGTTTCAAGTGACACAGCCATTCTAATGACCTCTCCTCAAAAGCCACAATCTTAGTTCAGGCCCCATCAAATTTTCTGTGACTGAGCAAACAATCCCAGTCTCCCAGGCCCCCATTCTCTTCATCACAGCCTATTCATCTCTATCCTAACCCCATCTGGGATCAGAACTCTCCTTCTTGCTTTTGCTTTGGATTTTATTTATTTATTTAATGTTCACACATGAACATCATTATCAGAGCATCAGAGATCTCTACAGAGTTCGTCATGAACAACTGCAGCCCTGATCCATCTCCAAGGGTAACCACTTTAACTCTTGAAACTGATTCTCTGGAACATTCACTTTCATGTCTCTAAATAGCATCTCACATGGGTTCCTCACCATCTTCACTCACAGCTTTAGGAATAATTTGTTGATTTCCTGCCCTGGGAGATGAGGAATTCTATCCCCTCCTGCATGCATCATATCCTCTCCCTTGCCACTATCTTTCCAATACAGTAATAGATGATGATTTTGGTTATTTCATTATTTACTGTTGCACTTGTATAACTGTGTAAACACTATGCCCAGTGGAACCACATGTTGGGCTAGATTACTTTTTTCCACTTTTCCTTGAAATTTGGGTCATTACCAGCTCATGGGCTGTTTTAGGCATCACAGCTTAGTCATCACTTGGCTCAACTGACCCTACTCACTGACATTATGAATCCAAACCCTCGGTTTCTTCTTGAGAAACATCTGCAGTCAGGCTAAATGGTGAGTTTACCAGCAAGACATGTTCAAAAAAAATCACTGGTGTCTATTTGCTTTATGTGTCACTAAAAGACCACTGAATGAGGTAGATTCCAGAGTCAAGAGTGTGTGGGTTTGGATTCAGTGTCTGCCCTCTGTGGCTATGAGACCTTTCAGCAAATTACATATTCTCTCTGAGCTTCGGTTTCTCTTCTTGTAAAATGAAATTAAAAGGTGAAACCACCTACTTCATAGGACTCCAGGATAAAATGAGAGGATACCTGTAACCAAGGTTTCTCTAGTGACTCAGTTGTAAGAAATCCATCTGCAATGCAGGAAACTCAGGTTGGGTCCCTGGATCAGGAAAATCCCCTGGAAAAGGAAATGGCAACTCACACCAGTATTCTTGCCTGGAAAAATCCCATGGATGGGACGGCCTGACGGGCTTCAGTCTATGGGCTCACAAAAGAGGTGGGCACAACTTAGCGACTAAACAACAACAACCTGTAACGTACTTTGCATAAGAAAAGCATTATAAATGGTGAGCATTAATATTACCACTGGGTTAATTGTTAGTGGGAATCCCAGAATAAAGAAATAGCATGATTCAGGGACTTCCCTGGCAGTCCAGTGGTTAGGACCCCATGTTTCCAATGCAAGGGACACAGGTTCGATCCTTGGTTGGGGAACAAAGATCCCACATGGCACAGCCAAAAAAAAAAAAAGAAAGAGAGAGAAACAGCATGCTTCAAAAACACCCAGAACTAGCAGAGTGATGAATGGTCATGTGCCTTGTTTCCAGAAGAGTCAGCTTTCCTTCACCACCTTCTCTAAGGAGCACAGGCCTGAGCGCTATGTGGGGCCCCAGCCCAGTGCTGGAAAATGCAAGCGTAGACTGGTGGGATCCTGGGTCATGGGGAAAATAAAATGGTCTTTTCCTGCTCTCATTTTGATGGCCCCCACTTCACTCTCTTGGGTGGTAGTTGGGGCATTGCCAGCAACAGGGACTTGTCATGTTCGTACCCCTTCCTGTGGTTGTGCCTAGGAGAAGGATGACTGTTTGACCCCCCTCCAGCTCCTTTCGTGGTTATTGGGGGTGGTATGTTAAATTAGCTCTAGCTTGTGCTAGTTTTAGGAAATTCACACACTGCAGTGCAGAAGCATAGAAGAGAAAAATTAAAAATCTTTTTTCCTCCTAGAGGTAACTGCTGTTAGCAGCTTGTCATGTACTCCTCCAGGATTTTATTTTCTGTGCTTCAAAATGTGTGTGGGTGTGTAGACTTGGTTGATTTACTATATTCAGTTATGTATTACAGGCATATATAGTAATAAAATGAGATCATGCCACACATTCAATTCTGCTACTTGCTTTTTCAAGTGATAATGTTTCATGAGGCACTTTCCAGGTTGATCTAGGTACAATTCACAGCATACTGTGTATCTTTTGGGGGGGTTGCTTCCCATTTTTACCCAGAGAAGTGGTTTTGTGATGAACGTGCTCTTGGGTATACCTGTGCGTGTTTGCACTGGTGTTCAACGAACAGAGTCCTAGAAAGTAGGTTTCTACAAAGTGAAGGTGAAAGTGGTTCAGAAGTGACTCATCCAAGAGCTCTCTGGCCCCTTAGCCCCTTGGAAGACCACACTCTCCAGCTCCCCTTCCTCCTGCGCTACCTCCCTCCACCAACCCACCTCTCCTCTCAGAAGAGGTCTCATCTGGGCCAGGCTGAGGCAACTGGAGTGTCTCGTATGTGTGGCTGAAATCACGTCACCTCCTTTGCTATCCATTCTCATGGAAAACAGAAAGGCTTCAACCGTTTGGGGTGTAGGAGTTCAACCTTGCTTCAGCCTCCACCCGAGTACCACTTGCAAAACTGCTTGCAGGGCTTCCCCAGTGGTCCAGTGGTGAAGAATCCACCTGCTAATGCAGGAGACACAGGTTCAGTCCCTGGTCCGGGGAGATTCCACATGCCTTGAAGCAACTAAGACCATGGGCCACAACTACTGAGCCTGCATGTGTTCCGCAATGAGAAGACACTCACCGAAACTAAGGAAAACCTGTGCATAGCAATGAAGACCCAGGACAACCAAAACTAAATAAATAATAAATTTTAAAAACTGCTTGCAGATCAGAAATGACTATTTTTCCTACCTTTGATCTTTCCACAGAGCAACTTGTTTCATAAGATAAAGAAACTGAACCCCACCGAGGAAGTGGCCCTCCTTCCCTGGCCCTGCCCCTGGCCTCTGGGTCAGAATCTAGGCCTCTGGACACAGCAGAGGTTGCGGGGTGGGGGCAGGGGGAGTGGAAGGTGGAAATGATTGTGGAGGTGGGGGAGGGGAGCTCTACACCAGGACCTTCCCCAGGCCACCCCATTCAGTGCCATTGGGGGGCCCATGAGTGGGGACAGTATGGTTCCCATTTCCCAGGCGAGGAAACCGAGACAGAACTGGGTATGAAACTAAAAGCTGTCACACTCTCAAACCTCCCCTGTCCTTCCTCTTCTCTCAGACTTCACATCTGCGCTCTGGACTGCATTGCTCAGGGTTGAGGACTCAGGTAGCTAGTGGCCCTTCTTCCAGGTGTTCCTGTCCTGCAGAATATGTTTCCAATGATGACACCGACTGCAGTCCCAGGAGCCCAAACCCAAGGTGTCCCAGCCTGACTGCTGGAGGCCTTGTCTCCCCTGCACACCTCTCCACACATAGCACCCCAACAGGATCAGAATTGGGGGTCCCCAGGCTCTTCACTCCTTGGTGGTGACCTGGTGACATCTCCGAGTAGCATTCGAGTGGTGGGAAGAGCCCCATTTCTTCCCTTCCCCTCCCTTGGCCGCAGGTTGTCCGCCTCCTCTTGGGGACCCTGCCTGGAGGGCAGGGAGCCTTGGGAACACCCACCTGGGCGCCGGGAGCTTGCCCTCTGCTTCATGGAAGCTGGGGCTCCTGGGGCAGGGCCTTCCTCCCTGGGCCTCCAACCTCCAGATAAAACAGCAGCGCCGGTTGCTGGGCACTGTCAACAAAACACTCCCCACAGGCCCAGCCCTCGCTGGGGATTGAGAACAATGGCCTCCCAGGAAGAGGCCCCATTTCCCAAGGCTGGCTCAGAGGGAGAAGTTGGCAGGTGGCTCCTGCTGCCTTGGCGTTTGGAGCAATTGTCAGAAAATGTGGTCTCTTCCTCAGGCCTGCCTTCCGCTGTCCTTCTCTCAGGCTTTCAGAAGGGCACTCAGATGGAGAAAGAGCCCCCTCCGAACCAGTTTGCTCAAGCACCCCACAGGAGCCCTCCAAAGGGCAGGGAGGGTCCAGCGGACCCCAGCTCCAAAGCCCAGCTGCTTGCCCCCCTGTCTGTCTGTTTGGGGTACAATCCACACCATCTCAGACAGGCAGGGGCTTCTCAGCAGCCCTAAGGCATCCTCTCTACTCCTTCCCCAAGCCTGTTCTGTAGTTTTATCACCTTCAGTACTTTTTTTTTTCCCCTGAGACAAAAGCAGGACTGGCTGATTATTAAAAAATATTACAGACATATCTTAAGTGGAGGGTGAAAGCCATCCCAGCCCCGAGAGATAGTATGGTAGGCTCACACTGTGTGCACACATCTGCAACTCGCTTCTTCGAGGAGAGGGCTTTGAAACCGAAGCCCATCACGTCATCTTCATGCTTCAACCACTCCTGCTGCTCTCCTGGGCTACGAGGCCCCGCCTGCCTCCCCTTTCTGGTCCAGCACCTGCCCCCTCACAGCCACACTGCCTCTCTTTCAGGTCCTCTGTCCCTCCCTCTGTCACCTGGCTTCACACAGGCCTGGCCCATCTGTGTCCCCACCTGGCGTGCTAATGCACCTGGTGAATACTTGTTCTTTCGGGTCCCAAGTTTCTTCTTCAGAGAAGCCTTTCCTGTTCTCCCCAGTCATGGAAAAAGCCTGCTCTCTCATCACAGCTACAAAAACTACAGATTTATGTGTAACTATGTGATGGTCTTGTTCCCCAACTAGTTGTTGTTATTGTTTAGTCGCTAAGTCATGTCTGATTCTTCTGTGACCCTATGGACTGTAGCCCACCAGGCTCCTCTGTCCACGGGATTCTCCAGGCAAGAATACTGGAGTGGGTTGCCATTTTCTTTTCCAGGGGATCTTCCTGACCTGAATCGAACCCTTGTCCTTTATGTCTCCTGAATTGGCAGGCAAGTACTTTACCACTAGCACAACGTGGGAAGCCCCCTCAAGGAGGGTAGGGATCTTTTCTGCTCACTACCTATCTCCCAGTGTATGGCACATCGCCCATAGTCAACAAACACCTATTGAATAAATGGACATGTCAAGTACTAACTTGCCAATTGCTTATGTGGGCCCAGCACGATGGTGGGGATGGCAGATATTCTGTGGAATAAGACCCAGGCAGGGTTTCAAAGACTGAGGAAGGGTATGCATCAGGGTGGAGGGGAAGGGGTTTGGATAAATGCTAGAATTTCATTTCAAAGGGCTTCCAAGGGTGTGAGTTTTGAGTCCATCTATAATATGGTAGAGTCATTGCCTGATTGTCTTCTCTACTCTTCTCTTTACACACAAGAGGAATCTTTGCTTCTCCTTCTCCTCACTTCTTCCCTCCATCCCTCCCCCAGATCCCTTCTCCCTCTTAGCTCATGGCTGAGGTCTACAGACAATTTATGTTTAAAGGACAACGGCTGACTGGCTGACTGGCTGGATGATGGATGCGCATATGAGGTATCCATCTGATGGATGGACAGATGGATGGATGACAGATGGATAGATGGATGAATGGAAAGATGGATCGATGGATGAATGAATCAAAGAACTAAAAAAGCCAGCAGAACCTCAGGGATCCCTAGTCTACATTGATTGCTAAAATGAGGAACTGAAGTCTAGAGAGGTGGAATACATCTTTCATCACTTCCCCTCTTCAAGAACTCCTGTTGATTTCCTCTCTTTAGCCTATAAATATCTTGAAATGGCCTCTAACCCAAACAAAACAAAGCAACTCTACCTGCTCTTCCCTGTGATTTTTCCCCTGAGCTTGAGCCCTCCTCTTTCCTTTAACTGCTTAACTTCTTGGAAGACTTGTCAACTTACCCCTGGACTTCCTCACCTCCCATCACCCCTTAACCTCTCAGACTCGGCCTGCTATCCACATCGCCATGGGAGCTGCTGTGAAGGTACCACCTACAGGGACCTTCTGGGCTCTGAGCCCTTCCTGAGCCTCAGGTAGTGCTTGGCATTGTCATCAACTCTTCCTCCTGAAACCCTAAGTCCTTGGTTTATTCTGGGGACCATTCTCTTTCTGCCCAGAAAACTGGAGCCCTGAGGGGCATGTCTTTCTCCCAGCTCCTCATGTCACAGATGTAACCTCAGCTCTTTCATTGCTCTCATTCTGTAGTCTCCCACCAATTATCGGGTCTTTCTGTGTACCCAGCACCATACTAGGCTCTTAGTTGCATCATTCCTTGTAGTCCTCTCATCCACCTTCTGATGTGGGTATATTAGTTTCATCTGCACTTGGCAGATGGTGGAGATCTAGTAAGGACCAGTATATCGCCCAATGCCACCCACTTGATAAGCGGTGCCTTTGGGACTCAACTGCGGTCTTGCTATTTCCGAGTCTATGCTCTCAGCCCTGACGCCATACTCTCTGTTGTCTCACTCACACTCAGAACTTATGACTCCCGTGTTAATATTTTCAGAAGTGACCTCCCTCTGGAACTCCAGACCTGCTCTTCAAAAGATCTGATGAAATTTTTTTTCTTAGATGTCCTTCCAAAATTGCAAAGCCAGACTTCTCAGACCTCTTGCCAGGTGAACTTACCAGTCCTGCGAGCAAATGCCTGCAGTGGCTCCCTACTGCCCATCCATCTAGGGGGAAAATTCTCCCCTGCTGCTCTCAGGCTCACCTTTGATCTGGACCCCCATCCCTGCCTCCATCCTCTTCTATCTCCTCCTGCTTCTGACTCTCTCTGCAAGAGTCTAATGCTCCCTGCTGTGCCTTCTGCTCAGAGAGCACCTTCTGTCATGCCTGCCCCCACGCCTGACCTTCAGAAATCCTTTGTATATAGAAAATAGAATGGCAAGAAATGCACTAAACATCGAGTGGTTACCTCCAGATGAGTGGGATTCCAGGTGACGTTCATTTTCACATCTGCTCAGTGTTTTCCAAATTTCCAATGAGGAATATGTTTTACTTTATAATCAGTAAGGAACTTTTTCAAATTATTAAAAAAAAAAATCTTGATTTGCTCACCATGTACATTTCCTCCTTAAGGCTCTTCTGCGACTTTGTTCACTTGAGGCCTCCCTAAAGATCACGGGTGGTCTGCCTCCCCTCCTGAGAGCTGTGCATTCTCTCACAGAGTGTGATCCTCCTTGTCCCTTCCGCCCCCTCCCAGTTCCCTGGTGTGCAGGGCTACCCCAGAAACACAGGAGGAACAGAGTATAGACAGATTCATTCATAAGTGTTCATCAGGGGAGCAAAAGACTGGAGGTGCATTAAACATCTATCAATAGGGGCCTGGTTACAAAGTTCTTTGTAGTTAGTTTCGGGGCTTGCCTACAGCCACTAGAAAGGAAGAGATTCCAGTTGCATATAGGAACCAATTTCCAAATTATGTCATTAAATAAAAAAATAAGATAAAACCTCCAGGGATTTCCCCGGCAGCCCACTGGTTAAGACTTCACCTTCCAATGCAGGGCGTTCGGGTTCAATCCCTGGTCTAGGAGCTAAGATCCCACATGCCTCGAGGCCAAAAAACCAAAACAGAAGCAATATTGTAAAAAAAAAAAAAAAAATTCAATGAAGACTTTAAAAATGGTCCACATTAAAAAAAAAATATATGAAAAAAAAAAAAGGATTCCGGGAAAATATATGTTCTTTGTTCATATTTACATTCCAAAAGGATAGACTCACATACACTTATGTATACGTATATATCCATAGAATATTTTTGGAAGGATTCTCCCAAGCTGGTAACAGCAGGGATTTCAGGGTTAACGGGGGACAGGGGAATTGTATTAAAGGGATCAGAGGGGGCATGAGTATTATCTCTGTTAGGCTTTTAAAAAGTTGTTTGCGTATACCTTTAAAAAAGAAAGAAAGAAACCTGACAAACAGCACAAGGAGCCCATAGCCATCAAGTACGGGGGAGGGTTCTCAGGCTTGGCTGAGCCTTGGTGAGGAGGGCAGAGAGCAGGCGAGCCCTCCCCCCACCCACCCATCCCTGTTGATGGAGCCGGGCTCTTACTGTGTTCTGTGGGCCCACTTCGGCCCGCGAGATGGTCCCCAGCAGGGAGCTAAGGCTGAGAGCTGGGGAGGGATCCGCCTGCTGGCCCCGCACCCCATCCCAGGAGCAGGCAGGTCAACCCACGCCTGTTTGCGATGGATGCTTCGCCACACCCTCTCAGGGCAACGAAGGGCACGGGGCAGAGCATCGACTGACAAGCAGGTGGTGACTTGGCACCTTGGCGGCTGCTCTCCCACAGGACGAAACAGTGTCCTGTGCTGGGTGCGGTGGGAAAGACCTGGTTTCTCCTTCGGTTAGGGTGCCCTGGACTTGGTCCCGAGCCAAGGGCTCTGTTCATTTATCTTCTCCCACACGGGGATCCTCTGGGAGGGGGAGCCGGTCAGGGACCAGACTGACTGGGTACAGCCTAGCAAGCTGCTGGCCAGGGAGGAACTGTCATCAATGACGGTGGTAATGTGCATTTCTTTGGAGCCTTTAATCTAGCAATGTCAAAGCACAACATCTCAACAACTCAGATGCTTGTAGAGTAGGAATTTGGCTGAATCAAGAGCTTAGGTTGGTTGGAGAAGGAAATGGCAACCCACTCCAGAATTCTTGCCTGGAGCATTCCATGGACAGTGGAGCCTGGTAGGCTACAGTCCATGGGATCACAAAGGGTTGGACATGACTGAGTGACTAATTTTCACTTTCACTTTTCACTTTCAAGAGCTTAGATGCCAAAGGTAAAGCTATCTAA